TTAATTATAAATCTCAACAAAAATGAGGAATTTAAAATGTTCAGTGTTTAAGTATTTCCATTTTATACAACTTTATACTTCACTGCATTTCTGAAGCCAGTATTGTACTTTTTTTCTTCTCCTATTCAATTATCCAACAGCTTATGTTATACTTTTCGTAGTATTAGCTAATTCAAAAATACACCTCAATTCATAAATACAGCTTTAAATATCCAGCAGCCGTTTAAAAGTAATATTAAATGAGCTCCACATTGACCCGATGTCATGAACAATGCATCTATAATCCTGATGTAGTACTTTATGTATATTTTGATCCTACTAACTTCGTATTTCTACCTAAGATTTCAAATGCAGGACTTTTGCTTGTAACAGTATTTTTTACAATTTGGTATTGCTATTTTACTTACGTAATTATCTGTTAACTTCTAACTCTTGCTTAATGTCCTCCTTCCTCAGGTGGTGTACTCGTCCTCGGCTCGCGAGCTCAAAGTGGAGACTGTGAAACCCGACAAGCCGGAGAAGGAAGAGGACGACATCGACATCGATGCGATCTAAGCGGCTCAGACGATGCTTTCCTTGCGTTGTGGCTTTGACTCACCATGCCCTGTGTTCCACCTAAACAGCTGGCCTCTCCCTCATTTACTCACCCCCCCTCTCCCCAACCTCCCTCTGCTTTGTGGCATGACTTAACATAGCGCTTTACTTGCTGCACATTAACTCTGTAATTTTGAGATGTATTCAATTGGTGAAATTAAGTGGCTTTGGGGTTTTAATCATGGGTGTTTGGGGATCATTTTGACTGCACATTGTTCTTTTTCTTTTGTTTTTGGTCCCTGTATTTTTCCAGTCAATAAAGAATGAATGTTTTGCTATCCACCATACTGTGTTGTTTGTGTCTGATGGTCACCGTTATCTCCTTTTAGGTTTTATTGGGTAGTAACATGGAACAATTGGGCAGGGTTGCAGTGTTATACTTGTCATAGAATTCACAATTCCTGATATATTTATTTTTTTGCTGAAGAGCTAATGGATAATGCACATGATACTTTCATTTTAATTGCCATAATTCATTTAAATAGTTTGTCTTTAAAAGTCTCAGAAAATATAGTTTTGACCCTCTTAGATCTCAAATATAGAGATGTCCTGCTTTTATCATTTTAAACGGAATATCTTTGGTTTTTTGAAATAACACATCTCCTTGGACTAAAGGAAACTGATTGACATTTTGGATTATTTCTTATATATCAAAGGACTAATCGAGAAATGTGTGCAGCTTTATTGATCCAAAAAAATAGTTGTGGCCTGACTGAGTCGATATATGGTCTCATTGTAAATTGTTATCCCTCTTCAGTTTTATTATAACATAAAATACACTAGCCCCCCTATAAAAAACCTTATATATATACATGATACGTTTATAGAAAGCATTGAACAGTTAATGTTTGTGCAAAAATAGTTTAAACTAATCAGAGAGAAGTTTCCGGTTACATAACGTTTAGTTGTCCAAACAATGCAATACCATTATGCAAATTTGATTCAATTTTTTAGTGCATCTATTGAAATCAAGCAGTACAAATATAAGTAATGTAAAAGCAGTTTCTAGTGTGAGACACATCAGAGCCACAGTTCCTCCTGATGACAGTCCTCTACTTTCTGGGCCAATAGGATTTAGGTCAGCCGTTTCCTCACTTCCTCCCGTTCAGCTGGATACACCGAGGCTGCGTTCAGGTGCCGTCGGAAATACACACACTGCCTTTATAACACAGTAAACCTCACAGTTTGAAAATGCTGGTCATTAAAAAATAGGTCGATAGGGAAACGTTATGATTGTGTTAAATATGTGACATATTGGATTTATACATAACAGTTAGCTTTTAATCCACTAGAGAAAATAAATGACGGAATACTAATTAAATATCAGTGGTGGATTGTACTCTCAAGTACTGTACTATATTGTCCTTTTTATGGCCCTACATTTATGACATACTTTAGTTACTTCAGATAATTAATACTAAATCAAATCAACTAATAAATGATTGTATGTAAGTACATTAAAACCCACGTTTACCTATTACTTTACATATATTTTGATGCTAATACTTTTGTTATACTTAAAAAATCAGGGGTTGTAATTGTATTTCAGTATTTCCATGTTATGCTACTTCAAGCTTCTACTCCACTACATCTTAGAATGAAATACTCTACATTTATTTGGCACTTGTAATTTGATATGATGCAGTTCCACAATATTTTACCTATAGTTTTATGCAAACTATCTAAAATTGAAGAACTACAATATTAAAATGCTATTATATGATGCATTAATTTCTAGCAAAAATACTATTCAATTATCCTTTGATACTTATAAAGGAGTCATTAATAATAACTTGAATTTTTGTTTCTTTATTTATATTTTTTAAGGGACAGTGCATAACAGAAAGTATGTGTGTATATACAATAACAACCACAGAATAATTAACAAACTACATACAACCACACAAGTCCATCAATGTGTGATAATACATAGAATCAGTATGATTACTGCAAGAAAAGCACCTTAATTTTTGTGCTGACCTTAGCCAAATCTTGAGGCTCGTATCAAACAATTCAAAGCTCCTGAGTCTGTTATATTTGTGGAAATGAAATTCCACAATACTTTGACTTTAGAAAGCAGAATGAACAAAGACTGATTTTCTGAACCCTTATGATCTTACTCACTGCGGGTATAGCAAGCAGGAAGGTGCGAGATTATAAATAGCATTAAACATGGGTCATGCTCTTGATTGAAATAAGAACTTTTTCAAATTGAGGAAAATAAATTGTTTTCAGGATTATTACAGTGATAATTCCTTGGCTTTTTATGGCTTTCAGGATTTGATTATAGAGTCAGCACACAGGCTTGTACAGTAAGCCCTGTTTGTGATGGAGGTTGCATTCATTAAACCTCCTGGTACAAAGAGCTTCTCCCACTGACAAACTTTGAAGTAAATTCTTAGCATTATGATGTTTTATGTAAGTATTTCCCATACAGTTAATACTAGATCCTGGTAAGTTATTCACAAAGCGTCTGAGCATCTAAAATAGCATCTAAGGTGAAACTGTTAGGAGTAGGAAGGAGACATTTTAAGAGGCTTAATAGTTTCTGAATTGAAGGAAAGATTGGCTAATTTCCTGGTTTATAGATGTGCATGCCAACGCAGACTGGTGGCGAGCAATTACAGAAATAGCTGAAAGCTGATTATTCCCCAGACGTTAATATCTGGCCTAAGTTTTCAAACATTAAAGAAAACGTTTTACTTTATTTATTAAAGTTTTGGAATACATTTAAAGGTCCCCTATTATACTGTTTTTCATCAATATATTATAGTTCTCAGATATATATACAAAACATGTCTCTGAAGTGTTTGGCTCGAAATACCAAACAGATTGTGCATTGTAGGATCCCATAAACCCCTCTGTTTCAGCCTTGTTTCAAAAGTGCTGATTCTCTGTCTGTTACTTTAGATGAAAATAAGGTGCCCCTCCCCACGCCGCTCTGAGAGATATTTGGTTAAAAAGAACACAATAGCGCTTTCACACCGGAGTACTTTTCCCAGGATAGTTCTTGAAATGTTGCGATCACACCAAAAAAATCCGGAATGTAGTTAATGAGAACCTTTTCACCCCGTTTTTAGTCCCTGCTAGAGAGCAGGTACTTTCATGGGAGAAAAAGGTTCCCATTTATGATTGGCTGGGCGGATTGCAAACCACGCCCCGTAAAACTCCCAAAAGGTTTTGTGAAGCCGCCATTTTATTATCCTCGCATTAGCATTATTAGCATTAGCATTAGCCCAGCGCACAAACGGAGAGAGACTAATTTATGGCAACACAAAAGAAAATATGGGAGTCTGCGTTTCAGTCGATTAACTCGGAAGGCTTCAGTAGCTTCTACTGAAGCCAGTCCCCAACTGGCTTCGGGTGGCAGTATACGCCGTGAAGTTGTTTGCGGCCTGCCAGTAAACCCAAAGCAGAAGAAGAAGTGACGTCAGCGGCTTCATTTGCCTAATCCTCCCCCAGGAATTTATTCCGGTGTGAACGCGATCTGCTCTTTAGTTCATCAGAACTACAGAGTTCTGATGAACTAAGTACTGGGAACTAAGTACTGGGAACTAAGTACTGGGAACTAAGTACTGGGAACTAAGTACTGGGAACTAAGTAGGCTACTGCAAAGTACCAAGTGATTGGCAAATGGTTACACAAGCCAACATTTCGTTATGAGATCATAAAGTGCCAAATTCTGATCAGCTCATTATCAGACAGGTTTTTATATGGATCAGGACAAACATTGAGCGAATCTTTTTTCCTGAAACTTTCAGAATCTCTTTACACAGAGGGGACACATGTTGATGTATAAAAGACATACATCCCCAAAAAGTGGATTTTGCATAATAAGTCCCCTTTAAGACCTTAACTTAACTAAACTTAACTAAGACCTAACCTAAGATGTTTTTATAATTTGGAATATATATTTTAGTTTATGTAAATAATCTGAATACTTATTTTCATTACTTCTTGACAAAGAAATTATATAAGAATGTACAAATAATCAGCTATATTGTTTTAATAAGGAAACATTTTCCCTAAGAAAAAAAAAGATAAAACAATTAAAAGTTTACAATAGTAGAGGAACTATTATAATGACACATAATTATATTAAAAATAAATAAATAATTTGTTTCAATTAAAATGTAATATTATAAAAAATGAATGTAAAATAAAAAATGTATATAAATAAAAAATATGATAATACAACAATAATAATAATAATAATAATAATAATTACAGTAAAAAGTACGTGTTTTTTTTATTATATATTTTTTCAGTTTTACAGAAAGTTCGAAGAATTGAGTGCTTGTTGGTTATATTTTGTGTGTAATATCTTCATAACACTCTGACGTCGGAGCCGGGGAGGGGTTCCTGAAGGCAGCCTAATCCAGCCCAGCCGCTGAGTAGCCATTTTGGTCCCACCTAAAACGGACAGAGCAGCTTCACTTTGGGCCGCCGGAGATGGAAGAAACCCGAGTCGACGGCGATTATTTCAGCCTCCAAAACCTTCTAAATCCCTCCGAGAAACATCGACTGGCGACACTCGACGCCATGTCTTCTTTTTAAGACAGTTTCGATAAAAAAAGGGGGAAAAGCCTGGGGTGTATTTTTTTTTTTTTTGAAGTGGCGACCGACAGTTTAGTTAGCTTCACTGACTCAAACACGCAAACGGACAGACGGACACTGATTTGAGTTTGTACGCGCCATGTAAATAAGATTATTATAGTGAGGGTTTATTTTTATTTTGTATTTGCAGTCCTATACAGTTTTAGGTGCTCGGCTCTACTAACACGTCCGGTTTGAAAAATTGTCACGATCCATGCTGAGACTGTTTCCCCCCGGAGAGAAGAGCTCAGCTGCAAAGCAAAGCAATAATCTTTCAGTTAGTTTTTTTGATTGGATTTTGTTTTTGGGACATTAAACGTTGCCTGTTGGAATATAAAGATGTCAACAAAAACTCCTCTGCCTACAGTCAACGAGAAGGTGACGGAAAGTGTGAGTATAAAGGGTTGTTTATTGTGTATTTATTGCTGTAAAATCTTATTTAAATGTTTCTATAAGGAGGTTGATTATGTTGCATTATTGACAGCGGTGGAAGAAGTGCTCATATGTTGTACTTCAGTAAAAGTAGAAATGCCAGTGTAGGAATCCTGCAATCAAAGTCAACTCAATTAAAAGTACAAAAGTATTAACATCAAAATATACTTAAAGTAAAAGTACTCATTATGCAAAATAATATATATTTTATGTTTTCATTATAATTATGGATGCATTAATGTGGGAATCAATGCTGGTAAAGGTGGAGCTATTTTTGGTTACTTTGTATGCTGCAGGGTAGCTTGTGAGTTATGAGTTGTGAACTAAAGTCTGATTTAAGTGTTGATTATATTGCATATAACTAATCCAAATCTGCAAAAGTAACTAAAGTAACTAAAGGTTAATAAATACATCTAGTGGAGTAAAAGCACATGATTTACCTCTAAATTGTAGTGGGGTAGAAGTACAAAGTAGCAACATTTAAATACTCAAGTAAAGTACAAGTACCTACAAATTGTACTTGAGTAAATGTACTTAGTTACTTTACACCACTGATTAGTGGACCACATGATAGCTAATTGTTTCACACTTTTCGTAAACAAGCATATCCTCTACGTAAAACACGCCCTTTAAATGTTACATAATGTTAAGATAGACACATATTCACATGTGATTCATATTTCTGTAATGGGTTTTAATGTAATAGTGGGTTATAATTGGCCTGAAGTTGAGATATTTAGGCCCAAACCTCGAACAAAACTACAGTACTTTGCCTGCTGGGTTCTGGCAGGCAACAGTAGTTTCTGTCCTAGCTTCCTATTGGCTCTGCCAGCTGTCACTTAAAGCTTTCAACCGCTCAGCTTCCTAATATGGGGCCCTCTAGTCCCGCCCCCTCCTGACCAACTGTCTGAAAGACGGCTGTCAAACTAGCGATAATATAGCTTCCGGTCCGGATTTTCAAAATTAAAGGGGACCTATCATGCAAAATGCACTTTTGTACGTCTTTTATACATGAATATGTGTCCCCGGTGTTCCAGGGAACTCACCAAGTGTCAGAAAACACAACCCTCTCTATTTTCCTCCGTACCCAAATCTCTAAAAAAAGGGGCTGCAACGGATCTGATACAGACTGATCCAGATTTGAACACTGTCCTGACGTCAGGACGGTGGTGCTACGGCTATTGGTCAATTCTCCACCTATCAGGGGAATGAGAGGTTGGGCCACCGCCGGCCATTGCTGCTCGAAAGCGCTGGAGACGCTGTAGTACATATGCCAGGCCTGTAAGTGGCGCTGTAGTCTGCCACAAAAGCAGCGAAGAAGACTTCCCTTGCATGGTTGCCCTTCTGTTTATTCTCCGCTGTGGCTCTTTTTCTCCCTCCCCGAGGCAAGCGTTTGCGCCTCCTGCTTTAAAACAAATGAGTAATGACTCTATATAATCATATGTAAGGGATAATGTGCAGCGACGTGGTCATTATGGGGAAAAGAACACCGACAGGCTGATCAGGAGCCCGACGTGAAGCGGAGGGATCTAGATCGGCATGAAGGTGTTATAAGGGATGTTTGCAGTGATTACAGATTTGAAAACATCGTTGCTTGCTTTAAAAGTAGCACCATTCATTATGTCAAACCTTGGAAAGTATCTAGATATCCCTGCCCTAATGCCAAAGTAACTGCCAACTCCCCTCTCCTGCAGGGGGGCGTGGTCAGCTGCAGCTCACAGAATCAGCCCCCTGCAAAAACAGGGCTGGAAAGAGCAAATGGAGCGAAATGAGGCGTGGCTAAAATGCAGGATCTGTTTGGTATTTTGAAAAAATATACTTTTATATAGGTATGGCCCTACAATATATGTTTCAAATATAGCATGATAGGTCCACTTTAAACTAATCTCAAATTTGTGATAAAGGTAAATAGCACTGTTGACTTAATGAAAACCATCTATGTTGTTTTAATCCTACAGAAATCAAAACAAGTATTTTTGTATCTTTCTTTACTGACAAATGTTTGTATGAAAAGGTGCAACAGATACACGTAAAAAACAAATATTAAACATTTGATTACATGGCGCTGTACTTTTTTATTTATTTAATAACTTGACCAGGAAAGTTGGCTTGGTATCTGACCATAACAATTAAATGGTTGATATGATACATAGCATGTCTCTAAAATATACCATTACAATAAACATTTATGTCAACATTAATCTGAAGAACACGATATAACCATGGATGTAGAATAGAGGGCCACAGTGACACGTCCTAAAACCCGAAAGTAAGCTTCTTCCGGTTCCCTCGACAAAAAAGCAACGCAATCTCTCCATAGGATTTTGGAAAATAGCTCGAAATAAGGTCTGTGGTTGACACACATTTAAGAGACGGATCACGTTTTGTTCAGTCAGATAATCTCCACTTGTCTACCCTACTTTTATCATTTTCGAATCATAAATCTAATCGATAGATTTATGATGATTGGCGCATGAAGACAAAATGGCCCAACTTTTGAGAGAGCGAAACGTCACGAAAGTATTCATATAATCCGTTGTTATTGTGCATCCATGGGTAAAGGTAAAAGTCATGTATTACTGAACACGTCACATGAACGTGCCGGTAATTCAATTAATAAAATGTGTTAAGGGCTCTGATTTTTGTGCATACATACAATTTAAGCTTTAAGAAGTCAGAAAATGGTGGTAAATGTCCCACTTCAAGTTTCTATGATCCAAGATAATATTCTTATTCTCAGTGATGGTTTAGAAACTTCAGACATTTCATTGACAGGCAAAGAAAAGCAACAAGTCTTTACTTTGGAGATGCTGAAAGCAGCAACGGTTTGAACTTGAAAAATACCCTCCAAGGACTATTTTGCTGTTAATACTCTTATTCTTTGAATGCTGTATAGAACATTTACTCATTAAACATGAATGGAGAAATGAGAGCTATTGCACATACACTTGTAAACTGTATATGTACTTCATCTCAAATATAATTGAATACATCTGTAGCTGCTTTGTACTTTCTCCTAATCCGTACTTAATCTTTGTGACAGTATCTTTCTGTTTGGCATGAATTCAGCTGGTTTTGATAAATTAATATTCCACTTATCTCCATCTTGTTGTATCCTTTTCTAAACATTCCTGTTATCACGTAACGGATACATGTGATATTATCAGGATCTCATGACTCATCACGGTAGCTGCAGATACCACTTATCCTTCACAAACAAAAGCACTGTGGGCGATAAGATGTGGGGAACCTTTATTGATCCCTGTCGGGGGAAATTAGGCCACTTCAGTAGCTGCAGATGTGAAGGAACAGTAGCCAGAGAAAGAGGACGGAGATCCAGCAGAAGCAATGATTTAAAACTGAAGAAATTACACAGAATTGATTAGTCGATCAACAGAAAATGTATTGGTTAGTTATGTCTATTGTTGTTATTCATCATTTATTACAACATTACATTTATTACACACGATTTGTTTGTGTTTAAGACATTTGCGTAAATCACCTTCTATGTCATCGAGTCTATGATGTTGCGATAGTCATTCTTCAGTGTTTCATAATGCTTTTTACATATATATTTTCTCATATTGAAATAGTTTTAATAGATAATGAACGTTTAAAAACAGCTTACGATAAATCGAGTGATAGAAAAGTAATTGTCAACTTTTTTCAAACTTATTTAGTCGATTTTCGAGCAGATCAAGTGATTCAAGCTAATCCCAAAGGAGCCCTTTTTTGGGTCATATATTATTGTAAATGAATAATTGATGGATATTAGACTTTTGGTCGAGCAAAACTGGACATTTGAAGACATTCAGGTTCTCTATTAAGTTTCTTATGGCCATTCTTTGACTATTTTGATGTTTCGTAGACTAAGAAATTATCAAAAAATTGAACAAATCATAAACAGATTATTCCGTAATGAAAATAATCTGTAGTTGCAGGCCTATTGTTAACATACTTTGCCGGACTAGCGGCATAACACTCTTCCAAAAGTAAACTGTACGTCCCAACACTGTTGCAGCAGCTAACTGAATGCTTTTATTCTGAAAGGACAATGTCCTGGTTTCCGGTTTCGATGTGTCTGCCTGTAAGCAGGCGTGACTGGGATCACTTTGTCTCCCTCTCTTGTGTCTCTGTGGTTATCTGGGCTCTAAGTTGGGGAAAATCTGGTGTAGTGGGATCTGTATGGGCATCGACAGTGTTTTCCTCTTCAAACATGACGGGCTCGCATGCAGCCAGGAGACACCGCAGCCTTGTGAGTAACCAGCAAAAAGATCAAATTAAACTGGGACATAATTCTTGTTTACTTACAGGAAGTTGTTAACCAAAAAAGGGTGTTTTTATTGGGTTTTAACTTAAGATATATCTGTGTCCTTTCCCTGTTGGAAGGCACAGTTTAAAGTATCCTGCAGCCTTTTTCTTTGTGGCGTGTCTGTGGTATTCAACAGTGACCTTATCCTATTTTTATCTCCCCTGCTATCACTGTAGAAGGCCTAAAATATTCCTTTAGTCACTTAAAGTGTGTGTGCTGCTCAGCAAGATAGTTTCAAGTGACCTTATACTGGTTTACGGCATTTAAAATCTTCTGAGGTATCTGTAAAATATATTTTTTGGAGGATTTTAAGTTTATTTGGACCATATCTAGCTTAAAAGTGCCTTTTTGTATTTACTTTCGTGTCTATAAAGATGACTTATTCTAGCTGTCTTATCCTCACAGTTACTTTTGTGAAGTTTTTTTGGATATATTCGTTTGTTGGGCATCATGTTTGCCCTCTGCTCTGGCTTTATATAAGCTTCTAGGTTTACATAAACTTGTTATTCAGTTCCTCACTTAGATCGTTGGGCTTTTAATTGTCTGCCGGGTGAATGGAGTTGGTTAGGCTGGGGATGGGCAGAGGGCATGTGCTGTTAATGAGGCATCGCTCAGTCGATACTGAGGCCGCACCGAGTTTCTATCACATTCGTATTGGGACACAGAGGGGGTGCTTCTTTGTTTTAACATGGCACCTAACAAATAAATCAATCCCTACATTGGTGGTTCCGTCAGAGTTAAAACAACACACTTTTTTCCCGCACGAAACTTAGTCTTTGGTTAAAGCATGAAGTTTGTTAAGTTTCCTGAGGAGTTTTGAATTTCAATTTACCACAAAAAAATATTCCTTTTATACCTTTTTGCAGCCTCAAACAATATTACATAAACAGACAGATATTCAGGATCCTTAAAGGTTTGCCAAATGCTTAATGTTAAACGTGATGTCTTTATTAAGCTTGGTAATATGCTTGAATTTGAACCTACTACATAAGAAACATAGTGTGGTGATTTACCTACACAATAACTAAGATCAAAAGTCTTCATTTCCTCATTAAAGCTTCTCACACCAGACCAGCAAAACCCAGAGCTAGTTTAGCATTCAAATAAACATGAATGAAACTTCTCAAAGTGAATATGAAGAGATGTGATGATCACAACATGTTCTAGATATTAAGGAAGATACAAATGGTTCACCCAGTCATGCTCTAGCTAAACTGATAAAGAGGCGAGATGCATCAAGATCTCTGCTGAACAGTTTTCTTCAACTGGAAACAGTATTTTGTTTCCTGTTTCTGCACCAGACGGCAGCGACTGTATGGATTGACTCATTTACATTTTCATAAGCATTGTTTTTATCTGTGTGTTTATGCTCAAATAGTCCTCTTGTTTGTCTGTAACTATTAACCAGATAATGTTGAATATAGACAACATTTTAAAAACAGTATAATTGTACAGAATGTGATACAAATAGACCACAATGTATGAAAGAAATACACAGTTTGTTTGTTGTGCCTTCTGTTGCTAACCTATGAGGCAAAATGTCTGAAACAAGTAGAAATCTGTCCTCTGAGATAAAGATTTCTGGTCCTAAACAAAGTCACATTTATCTTATTTAGTCGTCCGTTTCTGGTGCGTGAACGTGACCTTTATTTAAATGTGGAGCCGGTGACTGGACAAGTCTTTTCAGTGTGTTCTCTGTGGGAAAATGTAAGCAGCTTTCAATTGCCAGAAGCAGCAGAAAATGATCCTAAATTGATCGTCTGTTTCTGTTCATTATGATTTAAGTTCGTATAAATGTTGTGAGTGTAACTTGACTTTTTCTTCAGCAGTCTGCACGTCTAATGATTTATTTAAGAGCTGAAATAAATAGTTTATAGAGAAAATGAATCTGCAACAGTTTTGATAAAAGCCACATTGTCCTTTTTCTTTCAAGAAAATCTGCGTTAAGCCTCTTACATGTGAGGGTGTTGTACTATTGAACTGTTGTTTTGACAAAACAAGCTAGGGCCACTTGTGATGAATGCTTTTCACTATTTTCTTTTCATGGACCAAATTATGAATCAGTTAATCGGATTTTATCGTCAAGCAAAGGCAAGTTTATTTATGTAGCACATTTTCAAATACCAAGGCAGTCAGAGTGCACATAATTAATAACAAATTGGAAAATTGCTTAACAAATTAATAAATGCAAATTACAAGTTGAGAAAATAAACAGTTTTTAACCTGGATTTAAATATGTTAAATCCTCTGAAAGTGTATTCTAATTTAATGTAATGCTGGCTCTAATTAATATCTGGTATATAAAATGGTGAAATTGCCTGTAAAACACTCATTTTTCAGCCATCTGTGGCTCGTGGAAGAAAATCTCTCCTCTTCTGGGAGCAGGACTATAAATATCGGTTTATTTCCTGCAGAGCCTAAGAGGACGCGTCACACCGGGTCAACATGAGTCACTGAGATGTTTCACACCGTGTTCGATTCAATAACCAGCACCGTCTCTAAAATAAAGTGTCTCTCTTTTCCCCCCGCAGCACACGTCTCACAGTAATGGCCGCCAGGAGAACAGCACTCGCTCGGCCCGGAGCGGTGTTCGAACCCGCAGCTCCGAGGAGCCGCAGCAGCCGCACGTCGGCAACTACCGGCTGCTCAAAACCATCGGCAAGGGCAACTTCGCCAAGGTCAAACTGGCCCGACACATCCTCACCGGCAGAGAGGTGAGACAGACACTGCTTATTTTAAAGGTCACCTATCATGCAAAATCCACTTTTTCCTGTCTTTCTACAACATGTGTCCCCTCTGTGGAAAGACATTCTGAAAGTGTCAGGAAAACATATTCTCTCTCTTTTTGTCCTGATCCATTTATATAAAAACCTGTCTGAAAATGTAGCAACTGTTAAAAACAATCTAATTCCCCTTGCGCAACATTTCTTTCTGATTTAGATAAACAAATATCACTGAAGAAAAGTAGTCTTGTCGTATTATTAACATAGTAAATATCTTTCAAGTGTACACAGATTCGAAATGAGACCGTGTAATCTTCCCATTACAATACTTGTTGGGTGAAAGAATACAAAATGTTTAAATAAAGCTAATAAGAAAATGGTAAGATTGAAATGTCCTGCTACTGAGTTTTGCTTATCCTTAGCAACTCATGTATTTATATTTGATCTAGTGATCATTTAGATATTGTAATAAGTAAACTAGTAGAATAGTTGAAGTTAACTTATAGTTTTGGTTTCAAACTAAGTTATTTGCTCCTTATTACATGGCTTAGTTGAATACTCGATTCTGATTGGTCAATTCAGAACATGTGACACGTTTTTAATCCAGAACAGACAGAGCGCTGTCAAGGATTTATTGATCGTTGTTAAGGACGCTCTCATCTGCAGAAAGAAGTTCGGTCGATTTAACTGTATACAGTTTGGCCGAAAAGCAAACTGCATGCTTCGCGTCGTCGGGCTCCTGCTCTGCCTGTCGGGTGTTCTTTTCCCCATAATGACCGCCTCGCTGCACATTATCCCTTACTTATTCTTTCAACTGAAAAATGTTATTCTAGTGTCAGAATGTGCCCAACATATCTGGCTTTTTAAAAAAACGTGTAAATCTGGGGCTAAAGACTCTGTCATAATCTGCCGTTACGTTCAATTCCCCCGTTGGAGTTAATACCGCGTCCGGCTGCTGGTGTCCTAAAGGTCAAAGTGTTAAAACCCCACGTGACACAGAAACAGGAAATGACTCTCGGCTTGGCGTCTCTGCTCTAAAGCGTCTCTGCTGTAACTCTCGTTGGCAGTAATGGATGTTTTTCAGGGAGAGCCACTGAGCATTTGGATTTGTTCATAATTGATGAAGAGAAAGAGCAAGCTTCTTCCTAAAGCTGCGTACGACATTTGAAAGAAACGAGGTCGTGTTTCCCTCCATCCCCTCCTCATGCTGTTGTTATATATTTACTTCATAAAGGAGGAAGTTGAAACCGTGTTATTGCTCGTTCAGATTGACTTTTCGGTATAAATGATAAGATAACTTCACTTTCCTTTCCTGTGTGGTTGTCTTTTAGATTTTTTAGATTCTGTTTCCTCTTTTTCACACTTCTCCTCTGCTGTTACATCCTGTTAACTCTCAATTCTGCTGTTTATTCCACAGGTGGCAATTAAGATTATAGACAAGACGCAGCTGAACCCGAACAGCCTTCAGAAGGTAATGTACCGCCCTTCCTTCTTCCCTCTTCTTCGCTCTGCTACTACTCTCACGCTGTGGCAGAATTTATTTATTAATTCATGAAGCACAACAGATTGAGTATTAATTGTGTAAATGGGAAGCAGGGCATGCTGGGACTTCTTCTCCATAGAGTTAAGTGCTTTTGATTATTTAGGTGTAGTGTTGCACGGTGTATCGATACTTGAAAGGTACCGCGATACCCTGCCGTTAAAAACGGTACGATTCCTCCGTTTCATTAGTATCGGTACTTTAAGAATGACGGGGAAAAGTACTCCGGTGAGAAAGCGCCGTTTTAATAAGAGCCGTGTGTGTTCAGCGCTCTGCTTCCACTCCCTGCACTGCAGCCGTGCCTGCACCCTCCCCTCTCAAGCACGCTCTAAGTCCCTCCCCTCTCTCGTGCACGCGGCCACGCGCTAGCTGCCAGAGCATGTGAGAAAACGAGAAGCATGGCTGCAAGTGGGAGTGCAACTGCCGCTGCGCCTCGGCTTGTTGACAAAAAAGACGCCAGAAGCGAAATTTGTAAGTATTTGAGCGATATCTCTGACAGTGAGGGCAAGCCTACGGACACCACGAGGCCTGTCTGTGAGAAATGTATTAATTTGATTTAATACGAATTCTTGTCATTTATTTTATTTATTGTTCTCATTGTTTAAAAGTTTGTTATGGTTCTGGTGTGAAATAAAGCACAATAATTACATTTAAGACTGTTTCCCTTTGAATAAGTAAAGTAACTAAAGTTATTGAGGTAAATATATTGGACGGGGAAAAAAGGACACGATTTCCCTCTGAGAGTTAGCGGAGTAGAAGTATCAAATCGCATAAAATGGTAAAAAAAAAGTACCTCAGAATTGTATTATGTACTTTTATTAATGTACTGACTTAATTCCACCACTGGTATCTCTTGGCGTTTCATATTGTCAGTTGAGCCAATATTGAAGAAAAGCAGTCAATTCAATATTTTCTACACTTGTTCATGCTTCAGGGGGTCCGCGGGGTCTTAAAAAGTATTACAAGTTGATAAATCAATTTAGCGAAAATTAAGACTATTAAAAAGTATTAAAGGGCATTTTCCAAGGTATTACATTTAGTAGCTTGTTTTCAATAAGTATATGAATGGTCCAAAGAGGTTGTATTCTACAGTGTGCCTGAATGTAATCATTGCGTAGGTGTGTAGTGTGATTCTGTGTAGTTTATTTATGGCATCCCGTTGGGTTTGACGTCATCTGAACAGGACATCGCACGCTCACTGCTCGATAGCGCGCGAAGGTCTGTTTACGCCGGTTGTTAAACAACATCGTTATGGGGAAATGCAAGTCTGCGTCCAAATGGTTGGAAGATAAGCAGGAAGGACAATCAATACTGTGTATAGTCAATGTGAGGTAAAGTGTGTCGCCAAGGTAACCGGTTAGAACTCCAAGTGGCGATGAGGTCTTAAAATGTATGGAAAGGGTCTTAGAAAAGACTCAGGATTCCTGCATATACCCTGTGCATCCTTTTTCCAACCCATGCTTCTTGGGTAGTCATGCTCCTGGGAGTGACAGCTCTGTTTTCCAAATCAGGAAGGGGTTTGCTTTTAAAATGCAAATTTAAAGCGCCTGAGCGCGAATGCTTCTTTTCTGCTTCCCAGTGAAACTCTTCTCCCTTTACCGTGTGAAGTCTGTGAGCTGAGGACAAGCCGCCCCTAAATCTGTTTCTCTTATTCTGTGTACGCTCATTCATCTCGTTTTCCTTTATTATTCCCGCAGAGGGGAAATATACAGCAAAAGTGACAAAAAGAAAACAATAATAAAGTAGCTAACATGTTAAATATGGAGTTAATGAACTCCATCCATCCATCTTCTCCCGCTTATCCGTGGTCGGGTCGCGGGGGTAGCAGTTCCAGCAGAGAGCCCCAAACTTTCTTTTCCCTGGCGACATCAACCAGCTCTGACTGGGGGATCCCAAGGCGCTCCCAGGCCATCGAAGAGATATAATCCCTCCACCTGGTCCTAGGTCTACCCCGAGTTAATGAACTCAATAAAATAAATAAATACGGACAAATTGAGTAACAGCATTTCAATTGTTAAGTTAACATATTAAGGTTTGAGAAATGGTTCTGGTTATAATTAGCATAACAGATGAATGTAGTTGTGTCATTCTGTACATCTTGGCCCCGTCTCTCGATCTGGAAGTGGTTTTCGGGGAAAGATATCGACTCTTTCTCTTCAGACAGGGGAGAGTCGACGGGGAGGAGTGTGTCTTTGAAGCGGTGATGATGTTTTTGATGCTTGTTGATGTTCAGCCGCCGCCCGTCGCTCGCCCCCTCTCTCCCTCGTCCCCCTCTCAGCGATCGACTAGTGGTTTTCCATCCGTTTTTCCAAAAGCTCCATTGATTGTGTTCTTTGTATCTCGGAGGCCCGTTGGCGTTAGCTGTGACACGACGCTGACAGAAAAACACTGAGTCATGGCGGCGCTGAAACACACAAAGCGCCAGGCCTTTGTCTGCAGCCCTTGTTGTTTTTTAGGTTCCTGCTTTGTCACAAAACTTTTAGGAATTTGTCAGGTTATTTTTCCCGGCTGCCCAACAGGGAGTTAGATTTCTTCTGATGTTTATTTTAAGGAACGGGAACACACTTCAAAAAGATAATTTTCTTTTGTGCTTTTACAGGATTGACACTTTAAATGCTACTATTCCTGTCGCACGTTTCTATTCATAGGCTCGTTTGATCTCTTGTCGATGATTTGGATATTCAGAGTTAAATGTAATCCTTACATGGATAAGAATTGTGGATTATTTTAAACATATGAACATTAATAGGAGTGCCTAATCTACCAGGGTCGTCTGTTTTTAAAGGAATATTGTGTTTTTACTATTGCACCACATGTGTATTAACTTGCTTCAGCTATTATAAATACATTTTTATTTGTATAGCACCCTTTGAACCATCTTAACAATGTGTTAAACAACAGTAAAATTCAACATAATCCATTAAACCTTTTGTTATGTCCGAAAAAAATAACATAAAAGTAACAATAAGAATACAACTAGGAGAAAAAAAGGACCCCATCAAAAGCTCTTGCAACTCCCATTTGAGAAACATAATAAAAGTAAAGCATTGAATACTTTAGGAAATCCCTATTATTTAAAAAAAAAAATGAAACATTATACTTGTATACGAGACACGGCAGGCAAAAACATCGTTTTTCAAGTACTGGTCAATTTTGAGATTTTGTGCTATTTTGATTCCATAACATTTTTTCTTTCAGGCTTTTGGAAGGAAAACGTACAAAATACACATTTAAGTGTTTATTTTACTATAGTTTGTCTATTTGCGTCTGTAGATTTCTCCTAAATTCACCAAAAGTTAGCATTCTAACGTAACATAAAGTACCGCGACCGCTGTGTGCACCATGTCAATAGAGGTATCGTTGGAAAGCTGTGTCTCTCCTGCACAATCTCATCGGATCCAAATATGGTCATTTCCTTTGTATCAGCAACCAATTGTGAAAGCACAAAGGGGTCTTAAACCAAGAAACGAAATCTCATTGGCTGGTGTCAATTTCTAACGTGATTCGTTCAGATGTGTCACGTGGTGTGCTAAAACACTTCCTGGTTAGCTTTCCGCTAGAAATTGAAATCTCAAAATGCCAAAAGAACGGCGAAAAAAACGTTCACAGAGAAGACGACAACAATTGTCACTTGCACGAAGCAAGGTTATACAAAAAAAAATGACCCTGAACATGAAATACCTTCACGGAGTGCGTCGATGCGCAAGCTGTCATCCAAAGAACAGGAGGGTTTAGCTAGCGCCTCACTGCAATCTTTAAAGGTCGTTTTCTCAAAATGAGTTTTTTCTCCTACTCTGAGTTCAAAATGTCAACTTCAGTAGCACGTACATTCACCAAACCTTCCAGTTATATTCCTATCAATATTATGAAGGCTTTTACAGAAGGGTTTGTTCATATATAATTCATAGCCTGAATTATACAACATTGTATACCTAAAAACATGGCGAAAATGGATATTTTAGGGCTGTTGACAGTATTTTCTGATTTATGGAATGATAAAAAGAGATATCCAATATCCCTTCTGTAAAAGCCTTAGATACTAATATGACTACAAAATGAAACAAGAATTTTGAATCTGGCTATATCCAAAGTTCAGATTTCAATTCCTGAAATGTGTTAAAAAGTGTGCATATTTAATGAGATAATGGCTAATTTGCATATTTAAACATGCTATTTCAGAAAACTTGTAATACAAAAGACAATTGCCTTATTGTAAGTAATTAACTGGAGAAATGTCTAGCTGATACCTTTAAGTTAAAAAAATTACCCTATTCACCTGGGGTGTCTCGCCTTAAGTATGAAACAATTTGATGGGATCTGAGAGACGTAGATATACTGGGGATATCATATGTTTCATTTTGGTCTTTTAGTGGGATGTGTTGCAAAATGGCAGCATGATCCTTTAAAAGACGTTCTCTTTTGTTATTTTAAGAGTTGACTGAACGTCACCAGGGAAATGAAATGTTGCGTTCAGGTGAGGTTTTAGGGATTTATTTTGCTCTCCTGCGAGCTGTAACGGCTAACCTGCCTCAGACCTAACCTCTTATGCAACTGCAAGAATTGGCGAGAGGCTGAGAGCGGGGGATATCGTCTCTGAAGAGCAAATGTTTATTTTCAGACTCGATCTTAATAGTTCAGAGGAGCTGAGTCGGCACTCACTTCCGTCACAAGCAAACTCTTCTTCTGCTTCTTGTTTTTTTAACTCTTCTTCTGCTAAAATCTTATATTCTTTAATCGTCTTTTTCTGTTTCTAAAATCTTCTTAATCTTTATCTCCTTCAACTAAAATCATCTTTTAAAACATTTTTCTTCTGAAATCTACTGAAGTGTTAGCTTTAAAATGTCCAATATTATCCAGAACGGCCATTTTCAGAATACCTTTTTAATAATATGATTATTATTAAATCATTATCGAAGCATTCATGACTTTAA